GATTCATTGAAGAATTCATATAAGAATTAAGAATAATATGCAAAATGAAGTGAAAATACAAATTATAAGTGAAAATGTTCATTAGATTAATTTGATGATGTTCATGTTGGGAATCTATAAGTTATTTTCTGCATTGTCCTCATTTTTAAAGTCTCAAACAATGAAACTTTTATTTCTTCTCAGTTATGTGTGTACAGCTATTCATTCATCCAACAAGTCTCTCTGTTCAGAGGCACTTGCCTCTGTTACTAGTCTCTTCAGTGTCATTGGGATGCATTTTATTAAGATAACAATTGAGCATGTACAAGAAGCTAAAGCTTACCCACAGGTTTAGAAGGCCATGAAATGAAGCAGAATAAAAGGTTATAATGTGCTATAATAAAATTTATATTTCTGAATATTATGCTAAGGAAGTATTTTAGGTAGCTCGGTAACTTTGCCAGAGGAATGACAGTGTAAACAGAAGCTTAAACTGTTTCTATCCCTGAGAAGTTAATTACGATCATATTCAAATACTTGAAAATTGGCTCTGCTATTGCTTAGTTGGGAGACCTTAAGCAAGTTACTGTCTCTCTCCAAGCCTTTAAATTTTAAGTAAGATATTGAACTTGGCCCTGTCTTGTCACAAATTTTTATAATACTAAAAGGCAGCCTTCAATATATTCCTTTTGCAAATATTTAGTACACTGACATATTATTTAAAATAGCAGACAGAAACAAATATAAACTCGTAGATTTATGTGGAAAATTCGGTATCATCTTAGAATTCTGGAAATTGTATTTAACTTTGCCATCATAGAAACTATCTTGGCTGGGCTCAGTGACCCACACCTGTAATCCCAGCTCTTTGGGAGGCTGAGGCAGGAGGATAACTTGAGGTCGGGAGTTTGGGACCAGCCTGACTAACATGGAGAAACCCCATCTCTACTAAAAATACAAAATTAGCCGTGCGTGGTGGCACATGCCTGTAATTTCAGCTACTTCGGAGGCTGAGGCAGGAGAATTGCACCCAGGAGGCAGAGGTTGCAGTGAGCCGAGATTGCGCCATTGCACTCCAGCCTGGGCAACAAGAGTCAAACTCCATCTCAAAAAAAAAAAGTATGTTGAATATTATTACATTTTATAAATAAAGATGTACCTTATTATCCAGTCTTATACAATGCAGTAATGTCTCCCATTTTCTACATTTTTAGTTACATGCAGTCAACTGAAGTCTAGATATATTAAATGGAAAAGCTCAAGAAATAAACAGTGCTTAGATTTTAAATTGTGCATCATTCTGAAGTAGCATGATGAAATCTTGCACCATCTTGCCTAGGAAGGCAATCATCCCTTTTTCCATTGTCTATGCTATGCTATAGACACTACCTGCCTGTTAGTAGCCATCATGGTTATCAGATCCTTTGTCCTGGGATGGCAGTGCTTGTGTTCAAGTAACTCTTATTCATAATAGCCCCAAAGTACAAGAGTAGTGATGCTTGCATTTTGTTAAATTGTTTTATTTTACTATTAATCTTACTGTGCCTAATTTATAAATAAAATTTTATCGTAGATATATATGTATTTGAAAGCACATAGTATATATTTATAAAGTTTCATACTCTCCACAGTTTCAGGCATTCACGGACGGTCTTGGAATGTATACCCTGTAGATAAAGGTGAACTTCTGTATTATGTGATATCGGTATAGAGGTTTTAAAAATTGTGCTGAATGAGTTTTAAGCCAAGGATGTTTGATTACAATTTTTCCTAAGATTAACATTGTTTTTAAGTAGAGTGCTAGTGACTAATGCAGGTTAACTAAAGCTTCAACTTGAATAATTTTATTTTCTTTAAGCAAAATTTTACTTCATTCCAAACTGAACAAAATTACATTGTACTTATGATTTCCCTACGCATTTTAAAGATGTACACTCTAAAGGACTAAAATTACAAACCTTTTCCATTATAACCTATTAGTTGTTAGCAAGGCTATGTACTTGTAAATCTCTCCTACTGCCAGAAATTGTTTGGTTCAGAGGGGACTGGGTTATCAAGAATGGCTGCTGCTTTTGTTCATGACCGTGTTCTGTATAAGTGATGGAGTTGGACAGTTTCATTCATATGCAAATCTACTTTTTAATAGCATGATGATCTGAGGTGGTGATAATTTGAGGTTTCAAATTCTGAAAATAATGAATATAGTTTTATTTCATCCATAAGTTATTGTTAAAATACTACTTTTAAATGCCATGTTTTCTGCTTGCATTTTTATTTTTAAATTTTTATTTATTTATTTTTGAGACAGAGTTTCACTCTTTTTACCCAGGCTGGAGTGCAATGACGCAATCTCAGCTCACTGCACCCTCCCTACCTCCTAGGTTCAAGAGATTCTCCCACCTCAGCCTCCAAAATAGCTTATGGGATTACAGGCATGTGCCACCACACCAAGTTAATTTTGTATTTCTAGTAATTTTATATTTCTCTGTGTTATTCGGGCTGGTCTCAAACTCCCTACCTCAGGTAATCCGCCCACCTCAGCCTGCCAGTGCTGGGATTACAGGCATGAGCCACCACACCTGGCCTCTGCTTGCATTTTTAAAGTGACATTATCTTTATTATTAAGGGCCTATTCTAGGCCCAGTACTTCACTATAGTCTATAAAAGATGGTCCCTGCCGGCAAAGAACTGTTAACCTATATGGGAATATTATACTAACATACAATAAACAAGTGGAGAATAATGGAATGTAATCTCTGGCTTGCTAACCTGAAGTGTGGTAGAAGCTCAAAGGAAATGTGGATTTAAACTTATCAGAGAAGACTTATAAGCAGAGATGAGGCTGGGTGCGGTGGCTCATGCCTCTAATCCCAGCACTTTGGGAGGCTGAGGCTAGTGGATCACCTGAGGTCAGGAGTTCAAGACCAGCCTGGCCAACCTGGTGAAACCCTGTCTCTACAAAAATACAAAATTTAGCTGGGCATGTTGGTGTGCACCTGTAATTCCATCTACTTGGGATGCTGAGACAGGAAAATCACTTGAACCCAGGAGGCGGAGGTTGCAGTGAGCGAGACTGCACCATTGCACTCTAGCATGGGCAACAAGAGCAAAACTCTGTCTCAAAAAAAAGATAGGAAAGATGAGCTGGGCTTAAAAAGTGGTTAAGATTGATTATGTGAAATGAAGGAATGATAACTTGCAAGTGCAGAAAAAACATGAACCAAGACATGATGAAGTAGGAAGGAGTAGATACAGTAGAATGAAGGCAAAGAGCAGAAATTAGGGAATTGGTAGGGAAATGAGTCTAATCATGTTTGAGATTGTTTTCCTTCCTTTGCATAAGGTACCCTCATTTCTAAACAAAGAAAACAAGGGTATTCAGATTGCCTGCAGCCCTTCGAGAGCCATGGTGTGTTGCTTTGAAGAAAAAAAGAAAACAAAAACTTCTGAGAAATACTGGAAGGAAACCTAGGCATAAATAAGTTTACCTTAAATAATTGGGGGTATGTGGCTTTTAACTCAGCAAATCAGGTGAGAAATCTTGAAAGGAAAGGGTTGCCTAGGCAAAATGCTACTATCTAGGATATTTTTTGCCTTAGGTTAAGATTGACTTTACCACTATGGGAATAAGTGACTTTACCACAATAATAATTGTGAATGAATACCATAATACTATTGTTAAACCAAAGAGAAATAATATTTTTTCAAACCTCACTCAGATTTTCTTCTAAGTCTTAGCTCACGTTATTTACTACTAGAATGTCCTTTCACTCATCTTCAGTTGTCTAAATCTTACGCTGTTTACCCTCTACATGAAATTTTTCCAGTTTACTTTTCCTCCTCAGCCAAAAATACCATTTCTCGCATTTGAGCTTCCATACCTGACTTAGAACAAATACATGCTGCCTTATGGGAAGGGGCCATCTTATTCTTTATTGTATACTCTGCAAGTCTAGCCTAGTATCTTAAACATAGTGGGTGTTAAACAAGTGACCATTGATGCTGAAAATCAGCAGTAATACCTTCATGGTAAAGTAGTAGAAAGGCTACATATCAGCTAGACAAATATAGAAATATGCAGGTTATTTCCAGGTAATTTAGGAGTGCTCTACCTTTTACTACTTCACTGACTAGAGCTCTTCTCATTCTATACCAGCTATTAACATTCATTCCTCAGGTCTCGGGTACCTTAAAATGTCATTTTTTTTTTCCACCAAAACCAGAAACGTGTGGGTAGGGGTATGAATAATCAGGCCTATAAGATTTCTATATCTTTTGGGGGGTTATTAGTGATCTAATTGATAATTTCTAACCTTTCCAGTGAAGTGTGAAATTCTATAAAGTTTAATTGTTATTTTTTCGCCTTTATTTGTGTATCTCTGAGGAGACAGGAAATGGTAGTAGTATAAAGAATCCTTACATTTAAAAATATTTTTCAAGAAACACCATTCCATAATCACAGAAATAAAAGCATTGAGGATTTACTGTAATTCCTTAAGGTAACTCTAAAATTAATGGAATGCTTTTGAATGCCTGAACTTACTGGAGTCACCTTATTGAATGATATAGGCTTTCACATAAATTTTCTTGGACAATTTTATAAGAGACCAAATGCCTTTCCTCCTCTTCCCAGCTCTGCCTTTCAAAAAGAAACAAACCAGGGAAGTCACACCAAAATTTTAAAAAATATATAAGAAGGCAAAGAAAGTTGTGGATCAAATAAATACCATTTGTTTACTGCTATGACATTTAAGTCCTAATAAGGATTCATTTTTATGTATCCTTGTATAGCATTTATATAAAATTTATAGGACATTTATGTCTGTTTTCTAGAACTCAGTGTATAAATTACATTGAAAAGACTGTTGCTGCTGGTTTTGTTTGGCTTTGAGGGTGGCTGACATATTTGTTATATTTACCTTTTAAACAAAAGTCAAGAATTCAACCAGCAATTAAATAATAATTCCTGTGGTGATGCACTTTACCTTCTATATTGATTTTCTTTATGACCTGTTTTCCAGGTGTAAATTTTGATATCACCATTGCCACCCTCCCCTCAAAAAAGGTGAGAACTGACTAAACTACTGGTATTTAGACCATGTGGAGAAGGAACTGAAACTGGAAACAGAAGCAGACGTCTGTACAGAGCAGAGTGTCAGCCAATAGCTCACTTTAGTAGAGGGCAATAAATGCCACATGAGATGATCCCCTCAGCAGAAAACTGTAAGTAACTCTGGGGACTTGCAGGAGAATTGAACAGTTGTTTCTGCTGACTCAGTAAAAATGTCTTCATTTTATAATTTGTGGCCTGCATGCTTGTAAATTAAGATACATTGAGTTGTCAAGTAATGGACTTGTCTGGATTGTAGGTAGGAATTTAAGCCAAAATTGAATGTAGCATTCCCCCAGAAGTAACCTGGGATCTGTGCCATAAAACCTGAAGCAAAGGTTATGTGAATTTGCATAGCTAGGTTAAAACTAGGCTGTTGAGCTTTGCCTGGAAAACCAATTAGAGGATTTTAGTCTTGATATGGCAGGGAATAGGGAGCATTATAGCCTGTTAACTTGTTTGGAAATAAATGTGGCAATACTATATATAGAAATGTCTAAGAAATAAAGTAAGGTAGCAAGGAAACTGGGCGTATAACTATTGTAGTAATCTAGGGGTGAAGAAAACCTGAACAGCAATAGTGGCATGAGAAATGGAGGTGATATAATAAATTTGAGATATCTCAAAGAAAATATTTTTGAACATCATGATGGGTTGGATAAATGGGAGGTATAAAAGATTATACGTTTTCTATACTGGAAGACAGTGGCAGTATCACTAGAAAAAAGGAGGCAAGAAAATAGTTTAAGGCCAGGCAGTGGCTCGCACCTGTAATCCTGATACTTTGGGAGGCAGAGGTAGACGGATCATGTGAGGTCAAGAGTTCAAGATACTTTACAAAAGAAGACATACGGGAGGCCAACAAACATGAAAAAATGCTCATCATCACTGGTCATCAGAGAAATGCAAATCAAAACCACATTGAGATACCATCTCACACCAGTTAGAATGGCGATCATTAAAAAATCGGGAAACAACAGATGCTGGAGAGGATGTGGAGAAATAGGAACACTTTTACACTGTTGGTGGGAATGTAAATTAATTCAACCATTGTGGAAGACAGTGTGGCAATTCCTCAAGGACCTAAAAATAGAAATCCCATTTGACCCAGCAATCCCATTACTGGGTATATATCCAAAGGATTATAAATCATTCTACTACAAGGACACATGCACACGAATGTTCATTGCAGCACTGTTTACAATAGCAAAGACCTGGAACCAACCCAAATGCCCAACGATGATAGACTGGATAGGGAAAATGTGGTACATATACACCATGGAATATTATGCAGCCATCAAAAACGAGGAGTTCACGTCCTTTGTAGGGACATGGATGAACCTGGAAACCATTATTCTCAGCAAACTGACACAAGAGCAGAAAATCAAACACCGTATATTCTCGCTCATAGGCGGGTGTTGAACAATGAGAACACATGGACACAGGGAGGGGAGCACTACACACTGGGATCCGTTGGGGGGAAATGGGGGAGGGGCGGGGGGTGGGGAGGTGGGAAGAGATAGCATGGGGAGAAATGACAGATACAGGTGAGGGGACGGAAGGAAGCAAAGCACACTGCCATGTGTGTACCTATGCAACAATCTTGCATGTTCATCACATGTACCCCAAAACCTAAAATGCAATAAAAAAAAAAAAAGAGTTCAAAACCAGCCTGGCCAACGTGGTGAAACCCTACCTCTACTAAAAATACAAAAATCAGCTGGATGTGGTGGCTCATGCCTGTAATCCCAGCTACTCGGGAGACTGAGTCAGGAGAATCACTTGAACCCGGGCAGTGGAGGCTCCTGTCAACTATACTCCAGCCTGGGCAATAGAGTGACTCTGTCAAAAAAAAAAAAAAAAAGAGAGAGAGAGAAAGGGAAGGTAAGGAAAAGAAGAGAAGAAAGAAAAGGAAACTAAGAGAGGGGAAATGTGTCCCATTTTTGCAATGTATTTTTGATATTTAGACATTAAGTTTCAAATGCCTTCATTTAAGGTCCCTGGATATACAAAACTGGAGTTCCATGTAAAAGTCAGGCTGGAAAGGTAAATTTGGCAGTTACATAAAGCTGATAAGGGTAGAAAAGCTGACTGAAGCTCTTTATGAAGGACAGTAGGTCCCTTTCTAACACATACTTGTGTAAATAAATAATTTCATTAGGTATGCAATCTTAGACATTTTTAGAATTGAGTAACTCTGCCTTTTTTTGTAGTGTCATATCTCAAGCCTGTGCCTGTTAGAAAATCCCTATACTTACAACAGTTATGAGAATCAATGACTGAAATGTGTTAATAATACTCTTGAGCCTTACCTTCTCTTCATAAAACGAAGATCTTTCCCAGTATTAGGCTAATGGAATGAAAATGAGAACTTAAAGTCCAAATAATTCAGTCAGTTAAAACTTTATAAAATTGATATGGCTTTAATTTCTCAAATGGAAAGCAAGTAATTGAATTGGGGGAAGTGTGCTAGTCTCCAGTTTCAAGAAACAGTATAGCACAAAGACCTGGCATTCTAGCTGAAGAGCTGTAATAATAAACAGAAATTTGAAAACCAGGAAGACAAGTTTTCCAAGAGTGCAACTGTGGCATTTCAAAGGAGATTTAACAAGAAATTCCGGAAGATGGCCAAAAATAGGTTTAGATAATTGCGATTCCTTATTTGAATACTTGTTCTTGATGGAGAAACACACAAGAGGAAATGAAGGTTCTGTCTAAGGTCTGAAACTTTTTCTCACCCTAAAGCGGTTTGCTTCTGAAGAAAACTTTTAGCCAAAAAAAATCAAATAGGAATTCAGTGATGCTTAGATTGTAGGAGTTTAAAAAGTGACCAGTGCAACCCATTTTTAGAAAATTAATTGAAAGCAAATATTTTGGTTTTCTAGGAGCAAAACCTGTTTTTTAGGATTTCTATTTGTAAAGTTAAAGTATCACTGTTTACCCAGTTATTACTTGCCATAAGAAATAGCCTCCCAGCATCAGATAGAAATACGATGTTATTCTATATCTTTGTTTTTTTAATCGTCATAAAACATCTTCTGAAATGGATTTTTAATGTGGTCTTTTTTAATGATATGTAATGAAGCCTTAAAATGTTAATCTGCATTTTCAAATTAGTCTTGTAAAACCTCAGTAATATGTCTTCTGGATATATCAGGATCTTTTAGACCATTTTACCTTAATTCTTGAACCACTTGATTAATCCAAATTCAGTAAACCTATGACCTCAAATTGGGTTACCCAGAACTGGGAATATTTTTGTATTTCCATTCTGTTTACATCTGACTTACCTGCCTGGTCTGCTAACTTCTCCTTTCTTTTCATGACTCCTAAGTTATGGAGGTAAGTTAAGATTTACTATCAATTATAGTCATGTGACATTCATTTTGAACTTACATTCTCTTAGTTTTTTTAATTGCTAAGCAGTCTTGTAGCATTACATTGTTCTTAGCAAATTAGGTGTATCTCAATTTTAACTGGACTATTTTACCCTTTAAATGTACAGTTTTGTGTAATTTGCAATAAGTTTATATCCTTATAAACATTTATATTTTCATCTCATTTCCATGTGGCATTACCCAAGTAAACTTATAATTGAAGATACTCTGGGGTACTTTCTGTAATCTGTAACTTGAGTCAACTCTTTCAGACTGTATTATTTAAACTGTCCTCATCCATCTTTGAATCTATTATAAATCTTGTTGTTCCAAGCATCTGTTCACTCAGACTATAGTCTCCAAATGTTTCAGTTCAGCTCACTTGAGCCTGTTAGATGCACAACACAGTTGGGGAGTATGAAGACCACTATAGCATAGTCTCAGTCCTCATCTTGAAAGAACTCATGGTACCTTAAATATTGCAGCCAGATTTCTTTGGAGGTCTCTTGTTACAAAAAGGGTAGACCAGATTCAGTGGCACATGCCTGTAATCCCAACACTTTGGGAGGGTGAGGTGGAAGGACTGCTTGAGCCCAGAAGTTTAAGACCAGCCTGGGCAACACAGTAAGACTTCATCTTTACAAAAAGAAAAAATTAGCCAGGCATGGTGGCATGCATTTGTAGTCCCAGGTACTCAAGAGACTGAGGCTGGGCCGGGTGCGGTGGCTCAAGCCTGTAATCCCAGCACTTTGGGAGGCCGAGGCGGGTGGATCACGAGGTCAAGAGATCGAGACCATCCTGGTCAACATGGTGAAACCCCGTCTCTACTAAAATACAAAAAAAATTAGCTGGGCATAGTGGCGTGTGCCTGTATTCCCAACTACTCAGGAGGCTGAGGCAGGAGAATTGCCTGAACCCAGGAGGCAGAGGTTGCAGTGAGCCGAGATCGCGCCATTGCACTCCAGCCTGGGTAACGAGCGAAACTCCGTCTCAAAAAAAAAAAAAAAAAAAAAAAAAGAGACTGAGGCTGAAGGATAGCCTTAGCTCTGGATTTTTAGGTTACAGTGAGCCATTGCAGCATCACTGCACTCTAGCTGAGTAACAGGGTGAAATACTGCTTAAAAAAAAATACAAAAACATACACACACAAACCAACAACAAAACCAAAATCAAAAGGATAAAATAAATCTCTCCTATTTGGCCTCATACTCATGAACCCAAAGAAATTCACATTCTTTCCAGAAGTGTTTTGAAATGATGAAGAATAATATGAAATAGAAACAGTTATTTGGTATGTTTTACCATGTTGATAAAAGGCCATTTTTTAAATAGCCATTTGTTTTAATGATTTCTGGATTTTGAGGTGTTGATGTGGAATATGAAGGTGCAGAAGACTGCCTACCTAAAACCTGTTGTGTGGTTAAATAAGTCTTAAGTACAGTTTAGTTTTGGAAGCAAGGTCTTATTTATTTTGCTACATGTTTAGTTCTCTTTTTATTCTGTGTCATGTTTAATATCCATTTTCCATTTTCACCCATGTGAGACTTCAGCTTTTTATCCATGAAAATATTTTTGTGATTGAATCTATCTCATAGTTAAATATTAAGGCATTTAAGATGATGAGTTTTTTCATAAAAATTATACTTTTCCTTTGTAATAGGCCAACAGAAATTCTAATAATTTTTTTTTTGAGACAGAATCTCACTCTGTCACCTAGGTTGGAGTGCAGTGGCACAATCTCGACTCACTGCAACCTCCACTTCCCGAAATCAAGCAACTCTCCTGTCTCAGCCTCCTGAGTAGCTGGGGACTACAGGCGCATACCACCATGCTCAGCAATTTTTTGTAATTTTTGGTGGATACAGCGTTTCGCCATGCTGACCAGGCTAGTCTCCCGACTTCAGATGATTCACCCGCCTTGGTGTCCCAGAGTGCTGGGATTACAGGCATGAGCCACCATACCTGGCCAGAAATCCTAATAAGTCTTGGGGTATAGTTCCATAGCAAAGCTGGTAATTGCGATTTTTTGGAGTTTTTTTTGTTGCTGTTGTTAATGTTGTTTTCAAATAGAGATGGGGGTCTCACTCTTTTTGCCCAAGCTGATCTCAAACTCCTGGGCTCAAGGATCCTTCCGCCTTGACCTCTCAAAGCGCTGGGATTATAACCACCACACCCAGCCCAGTACTTGTGTTTTTTACTAGGTCATTGATATTCCAGAAATCTAAGTTTTTTTTGTTTTTTTTTTTTTTTTTTGTAATTTTAAAATTTTTTCTCTTTATTTCTGAGCATTTGTTTAGAAATGCTAAGTCTGGGCAGCCAGGTGAGGTGGCTCATGCCTGTAATCCCAGCACTTTGGGAGGCCAAGGTGGGCAGATCACCTAAGGTCATAAGTTCAAGACTAGCCTGACCAACATGGAGAAACCTCATCTCTACTAAAAATAAAAAATTAACCGGGCATAGTGGCACATGCCTGTAATCCCAGCTACTTGGGAGGCTGAGGAGAATTGCTTAAACCCGGGATGTGGAGGTTGCGGAGAATTGCTTAAACCCGAGATGTGGAGGTTGCAGTGAGCCAAGATCATGCCATTGCACTCCTGCCTGGGCAACAAGTATGAAACTCTGTCTAAAAAAATATGCTAAGTCTGTTCTCTCCCATGAGTCCTTTGGCTCCAGGTAATAAAATTTCATAAATTTTTGTAAATTATTTTTGAAAATTTCTTCACACTTGCAGTTTCCTCACACTTGCAGTGTAACTTGCTAAACAGTCAACTTTCGTAGCACAGAGGAAAAAATAGTAAAATACAGGAGATTGAGTACTCTTAGCAAATCTTTTATTACCCCAGCATAGCCTCTAGTGGGATAATTCTCTATCAATATGAACATTTCTGTGATTTATGATAGAGAATCAGTGCAAAAATTTATAAAGCAAAGCTGAAGTTTGTCAGTTGAAAATGGTATACAGGACAAATTAGAAACAGATTATGATTCCCTAAACCATATATTTCTCAAGCTGCTTTCTTGTGACCATTTGATACTACTTCAGGCTCCTAATTTCAAATACATTTTTAAAGCAGCCCAAATAGGCCAGGCACAGTACCTCATGCCTGTAATCCCAGCACTTTGGGAGGCTGAGGTGGGCAAATCATCTGAGGTCAGAGTTCAAGACCAGCCTGGACAACATGGTGAAATACCTCTACAATAATACAAAAATTTATCCAGGAGTGGTGGCACGTGCCCGTAGTCCCGGCTACTCAGGAGGCTGAAGTGGGAGGATTGCTTGAGCCTGGGAGGTGGAGGTGGCAGTGAGCTGAAATCGCAACGCTGCACTCCAATCTGGGTAACAGAGACCCCGTCTCAAAAAAAAAGCCTAAATTAATCTTGACTTTACCATACCCTAAGAACTCTTTGTAATTACCACTTGTATATTAAATGCAAAAGTAATTAAGCATTAGAGCTCTTTTTCAGAAAATGTTTGTAGGGAGAACTTCTAATCACTTATAAGGTAAATTATTGAGGTTCAAGAATCATAAGTTAAAATCTTGGTGCCTTGGCTAGGCATGGTGGTTCACACCTGTAATCCCAGTGCTTTGAGAGACCAAAGTGGGAGAATCACTTAAGGCCAGGATTATGGACAACATGTGAGACCTGGTTTCTACATAAAGTAAAAAATAATAACCCTGCCATGGTGGTGTGCGCCTGTAGTCCCAGCTACTTGGGAGGCTGAGGTGGGAGGATCACTTGAGCCCAGGAGTTTGAGGCTGCAGTGAATTATGATTACACCAGAACTCACTACATCTTCCAACTCCTGCACTCCGGCCTGGTGACAGAATATTATATAAAGAGTATTAAATAAATGAATCTTTGATGCCTTATCAGAAATGAAACTGTGAGTGATAAAAACATGCTGAAACAAACATAAGTGGGAAAATATGGGAGACCCAACAAATATTACAAATATGTAATATTTGTACATATTTATGGGGTGCATGTGATATTTCGTTATATGTATAGAATGTGTAATGATCAAGTCAAGGTACTTAGGGTATCCATCAGTTTGATCAATTTTTTTTTTAATTATTATTATTATTATTTTTTTTTAGACAGATCTTGCTCTTTCACCCAGGCTGGAGTGCAGTGACGTAATCTTTGCTCATAAGCATTCATGAAGAAGAACAATGGAAAGATATATTGAAGGTAGGACATTTACCAAAGCACCAAGTACATGGATCGCTCTAGAGAGCAGCAATCATTATGGCCTAAGCACAGTTGGGGCCTGGCTGCCCAGAGACTGCATGGTAGCAGATGAAGCCAAGAGTTAGGCTGAGTATAGATTTGGCTAACACGTATGCCCTAAATATGTAATGAAACAAGAAAAATGGAAATTTCTCTTTAAAAGAGAACAGGCAACTTCATTTATTTATCTGAGATTATTCTGGTATGATGATAGTCTCTGGTTTTGGTGTTTCATTGATGATGAATGCTTCAGGGCTTTTTATCCTTTAAAAGCTATAGTATTCAGTTTCGTTTTCAGAAGATACTGTTCTAATACTGACCAAACGAAAGCCTTCCTTTAATACAGTGTCAATCAATAAGCCGAGGACATTTATTCCATTGGCCAATTTTCGGTTATCAGGCATACCTAGAAACATACCTAGGACACAGAAAAAGCTTAATTATAATGCATCTCTTTAATAACTAGCAAAACTACACACATAAATTTTACTTACAACCATACAGGCATCATACCATCTCAAGACAGATTTTTTTTTTTTTGAGATTTAATTGAAAAATCCAAATCAATAATTTCAGGTGCTGAAAATTGAGAACTTGCTGTGATTTTGAAAGTAATTTCAATTCCATATTTAGATGGAATTGAAATAAACCAACACTCATCAATCTGAGAGATTATTTTCTAAAGAAAACAGTTTGATCAATTAAATTATCTTATTTTTTATGTAACTTTTCAATTTTGTTTTGAATTTGCTACTTTTGATTCAATTAGTTGATTAAATCAAACATTTTCATGAATGCTGTGCACTTAACAATTTTCATAACCTCCAGATCTAGTCTTATCAATTATTAGCACTGACATGGATTTTTCTTTGTGACTCATTCCTATCAAATCCACCTTTTTTTTTTCCAGGTGAAATTTTGCAGATATAAAATGTCAAGATTTTTATTTTCACTTTTTATGCAGTAACTTTCCATGCCAAAGAGCACAACTTGGGGTCAAGAGCCTCTGGATTGGGCCAGCCTTGGTGGAGCACTTCGGGAGGCTCAGGTGGGTGGGTCACTTGAGATCAGGAGTTTGATAACAGCTTGAACAACGTGGTGAAACCCTGTCTCTACTTTTAAAAAAAAAAAAAAAAAGCAAAAGCCAGGTACAGTGGTTCACGCCTGTAATCCCAGCACTTTGAGAGGCCAAGGCAGGCAGATCACCTGAGGTCAGGAGTTCAAGACCAGCCTGGCCAACATGGTGAAACCCTGTCTCTACTAAAAATACAAAAAATTAGCCATGTGTGGTGGCAGATGCCTATAATCCCAGCTACTTGGTAGACTGAGTCAGGAGAATTGCTTGAACCCAGGAGGTGAAGGTAACAGTGAGCTGACATTGCACCAGTGCACTCCAGCCTGGGTGAATGAGTGAAACTCCCATCTCTGAAAAAAAAAAAAAAAAGTACCAAAGCCTCTGGAGTGGAAACAGCAAAATCTATTCCCTGAGCTGCTCCACAGAATCAATGTAGTACATAAAACCAATTCAAGAAAAGTGCACGTGAACTTTTCAGATTAGCTGTCTGTTGCCTTTAATATTGTCAGCATAACACATCTGCATGGATACAGCCTTTGACTCCTTCCTTATCTGGCATCAACGATGTTTTCATAAAATTCTTTGTGTCCTCCCACCATTTGTTTATGAGATATGAAGAAAAGGCTAACTTAGGCAGGGCGTAATGGCTCACGCCTATAATTCTAGCATTTTGGGAGGCCGAGGTGGGCAGATCATGAGGTCAGGAGTTCAAGACCAATCTGGCCAAAATAGCAAAACTGCGTCTCTACTAAAAATACAAAAATTAGCTGGGCATGATGCTGTATGCCTGTACTCCCAGCTACTCGGGAGGCTGAGGCAGGAGAATCACTTGAACCTGGGAAGCGGAGGTTGTGGTGAGCTGAGATCATGCCACTGCACTCCATCCTGGGCAACAGAGCAAGACTCTGTTCCCCACCCTACCCCACCCCCGCCACAGAAAAAAAATACAAAAAATTAGCTTGGTATGGTGGGGGTGCCTGTAATCCTAGCTACTTGGGAGGCTGAGGCAGGAGAATTGCCTGAACCCAGGAGGCAAAGGTTGCAGTTAGCTGAAATGGTGCCACTGCACTCTAGCCTGGGCAACACTGTGAAACTCTGTCTCAAAAGAAAAAGCTAACTTAGATTAGTTCAAGCAGAATCCTAAACTATTTGTAGTTTTAAGGGATAAAAGGATACTTGAGGACATCCCTAACCTTCTAATGATCATGCTTGAAGTAGAGTGGTTTTTGTAGCTTACATTTAGAAACTCATTCTAGGCAAAGAAACCAATAGTAAAATCTAAAAATTATTAAACTGCAAAGCACATCTCAAAAAATGTTTATTATGTTGGATACAACAGATTCTCAATATTAGCAAATCATTTCATTTACCCCCAAGCCCCAGATCTTGACTGTATAGTATAGAAATGTTTGTCAAAGAGAAAAAAGTTACAGAACATCTCATAAAAGAATTAAGACACAAATAGTATATACAGATAGTAGGTGGTAACAAAGTGGAATGTACTTGCAAGAAATCACCAACTAAAATACTTGACTCCCGTTGAGGACAAATTGAAAAATAAAAAGATTTCAGGGCACACAAAGAAAGGACAGAATAGAAGAAACCAATGGGAAATAGAAAGTCTAAACTTATTTTTAAAATTTAAAAGCAACTACACTTTTCCATTTGAGCCAGTTCAAAAAGGAGAAGTCAAATAAAGACTCTAGAATCCTGTGACCAACTGGTATCACATGAATGACCATCTGAAACATGCAAGTGAAGTACTTCTAGTGCTGTGAACTTGAGAGATAATAACAGAGCAACCTACTAGGATAACCTTGAGTGGTAAATAATATTGATGGCACAAACTGAATAAGGTGAATGATACCAGACGATTGGGCACCATTTAGGCTCACTTCTCCATTTTCCAAACCTTCCAAAAATATCTGAATAGACAGATTTAGACCAGGGAGTGAGCAAAAAATAAAAATTATTACTAACTAGGCAATTATATACTACAGGTGGACCTTTTTAAGGCCAGAGTTTTCATCCCAGTCACTGGAGATACCCATAATGTCACTGTATTCAGATTGGCTAGCTCTACTTTTAAACTGGCACTGTCTAAAAATTGACAAACATGGGAAAAATTTTGAGCTTCAAACAATTGAATACCATTTGGTGATGCAAGAACATGCTAATTTTAAAATAGCTTCTGGTTTTGGAATTATTACGGAAGTCTAAATATAATGTCTTTCTTACATTTAAATGGAAAAAACTTTTGTGCTCTTTTTAAAACACAAACATATAACATAAAAAGGGGAAACCATTTGGCACTGTGTACACACAGGAAAATCCCAGTTTTAGTTTCTAGTTGTGTTTTTCAAGTAACAATTACTTTCTCCAAATTCATGGTTTTTAGAGTATTTCGTATTTCCAGGACATCTTCTTTTGACCTAGTGTGTTTCTTCTCTTAAAATCAATGACACTTTTTTCTTTAGGTTTCTGACTTTTTGAAGCATGATCCCCAAAGAGGTCATAATCACTCAAATTTTAAAAACAAAAAAATTGATCATTTTCTTAAGTATCCCATCAATGGTAATAAAGTTGTACAGAGGTTTGAGATAAAGATAAGGCATTAGGTTTTCTTCACAATCAGCCTACTAGCTTAACTAGCTCTTTTTTCCCAAAATATTTCAACCTGTTTGGAAGGACAGGAAGTTATAAAATGTAAACACTTAGGAATTGTCATACTCGGTTATATTACCTAGTGTCCTCCAGTTGGTAAGCAAGACCAAAGGATGTGTTGTTAAGAGAGACACTGGTGTCTTTTCTGTTGGCTACTGCTGAAGTTAAGAAAATATCTTAAAATATGGCTACCTTTACCCAAAAAAAAGTATATTTTAAATGCTACCAATAAAGAACACATGCAGGATTTTCTTTTCCTCCTAAAAATTAAAGCCAGCTTTCACAGTTGGTAAAATAATGGTAGGACAGCATTAAGACATTTTACAGGGGGAAGAAATGTTTGTGACAGCAGAGTGGAAATCAGCCTTAGGATCCAGCCAAGAACAATAGAGGGAGAAAGTAAAGAATTAACTCAGGAGCAACTATCCTTAACATACTGACAGCCTATCCCAATATTTTGAGTAGTTTAAGAGCCAAGGCTGTAACAGGATACCAAATTTGCCATGAGATATATCTGTCTTTAAGGGTGTTGAAAAATAAAGTCAGCTGAAGAAAAAACAGTAGTTGAATCATAAGAACTGAAAGAACAAATTATATACTGTGTAAGAAATCAAGAGAAACCAGTGAGCGAACCTTTACTTTATGTGAACCACTGAAAGAATCTCTTAAAAATAAGGCAATTCTTTTCTAAGTCCAATTCATTAGCAATGGAACATAATCTATAAAATTATTTTCTCCCATGATTTGAATGTCCATAGTCCCAGTTTTTTCTAGGCAGTCTTCATTTATTCCTTTTGTTCCACCCAATAGCCCCTTTCATTCTAAAACGTATCCCAGTTTGGAAAATAATTATTTGGTCATTTCCAACTCCACTGGTTACCCCAAAACGTGATTTTGAATAATCATCTTTTACAGGAGAAGTTGCAGGCCTGAGAAACTTCAAATGTTGAGGGAAACATCACAAACTGATACACAAGAGAGATACTGCAAAGTGCAAAATACCTGACTCCAGTTTGGTTATCAGTAGTGCTGTCAGATCTGCACTGGAAAACCAGGTCATGGAAGAAGGTCTTTGTGGAGGCAGTGGAAGTAAGGTCATCTGAGGAGGGAAAGAGTTACTACTCCAGGTTGGTGCTGAAGGTTGTTCTGTAAACATTGTAATCCTCCCAGTTAGCATCTCAATTGTTTTGCTGCAAGAGCCTAACACTCTGAAAAAATCTTGAGTGTTCTGGCTTAGGAAGTGCACCTCCACAAGAGCAGGTCTTGGCTGTAGCAGATACGGGTTTAAGAGATCAACCAGAGAATGAAGTTCATAGAAAAGAGCCTCTCTCTGAAGCCTAAGATAGTCTGAAAAGTTACTGGGTAATAAAAGCTGGTGAGTTCTCAGAAAATCTAAGATGAAACTAAATAAAACACCATCTCTGTTTACAAAAATCTGGCCACCAACCATCTTGAATTCTTGGTCTCTGCCATCTAACATGCATGCCAACCGAGAAGGAAACTGCTTTATCGTAGAAAACCTTTTTGTGAATATCTGTCTTTCCTCCCACATTCAAAGTGACCAGTTCCTGACTACTCATTCTTCCCTCACTTCAAACTAGAGGCTACCATCAGCCACACTTAGGAAATCAACCTACCGTAAGTGTTGCTTGTTATATATGATTACACAACAGAGGGGAGGAAAGAATAACAAAAACCAGAGACTTGGATTCCCAGGTAACTACTGTAAGGTAAATAGTGTATCCATAGCTGTGTTTGCAAATTTGAGTTGCCTGGGAATTTGCAGTATACAATATGAAAAAGCAACAGATGAGGAACTAAATAGTTTAAGGAAAACTGCCAATATATCTGAAGATATACATCAAATAGATTCCTGTCTTCCATTTTAAAAAATTCTCCATGAAAACCTGGTAAACTATATATATACATATATGTATATACACACACACACACATACACATACACACACACATACACATACACACACACATGAATTTTAAAATTACTGGGAGGGGAAAAGCACTTCTCCTTCCCCATACTTGTCTACCATGCAGGGGTTAGCAAACGATGATCTCCTTAGCAATTTAGGGGCTAAATCATGAATTATGTGTTAGGAACAAGACAGCCATTACCTCTTCTGGCAAGCTCAATTTTACTCTTCTCATAGCTAGAAGGAAATAATTTCTTCTGTGCTTTAAATTTAGTTGCCACCTTTTATCCTGTCCCCATGTTTATTACCTCCTCTCAACCAAATTAAAGGAAGACTGAGGTAAATAACCTCTATTTTCAGAAAGTCTAGTCTACTTAACGGGCTTTCAAGGAGTATCTTACTCTATGACAGAAATAAGGCAGACTAGAGAGCAGTTACAAGGTTAGTTCTTTGTTATATGAAATCTAAGCAACGTGAATTCTTTTATTCCATAATCTTCACCTCATATGAGCAGACAACAGCATTACTGTTCAGCTAATTTGTACTTTGTAATAGCTGACAGTTTCATCTGTTTTGAAATTAGTCTTACTAAACATTGTTTCTGTAAGCAAGTGGTTTGGTTATACAGTTGCCATCTTTGAAACAAAACAGGTAGCTGCCAGAAAAAAGGTAGTTGTCCCATTTCCTCCTCTTGCCATGTGTTTGAGAGACAGGTGTTTTGGTTTTTTTTTTTTTTTTTTTTTTTTTTTTTTTTTTTTTTTTGGTACACTGGGTCTTGCTATGTTTATGAAGCTGGTTTCAAACTGGAAGTCCTAGCCTAAAACAGTTCTCCCACATCAGTGTCTCAGAATGCTGAGATTAGACATGAGCCACCATGCCCAGCCACTAGATCTTTTTTTCTTTAACCTATCTATGCTTTTGCTTGCACACCCACCTAACATTTCTGGTTGGTCATCTTCAGTGAAAACTACAAAAAGGAGAAAAGGGCAGACTGAAAGCTCCACCCTCTTAAAAATGTAAACTTATCACAAGAAATGCCAGGTTTTGTATGTACATTCACATTTTGGGGATAAAGGAATTAACTCTCAAAGTTTTGGAAATCTAATTCATTAGTATCTTTAGTTGTCTCTGTGTGTGTGTATGTGTGAAATCTTCTACAATATATTTCATTAGAGCATGTTCACTGTCAAAAAAAAAAAGTGCTTTAAGAGTAGTCTTTGGCTGGGCATGGTGGATCACGAGGTCAGATCGAGACCATCCTGGCTAACACGGTAAAACCCTTTCTCTACTAAAAATACAAAAAATTAGCCAGGCATGGTAGCACACACTGTTGCCCAGCTATTCAGGAGGCTAAGGCAGAATTGCTTGAACCTGGTAGGCAGAGGTTGTAGTGAGCCAAGATCACACCACTGCACTCCAGCCTGGGCAACAGAGTAAGACTCCATCTCAAAAAAAGAAAGAGTAGTCTTTACTGCATGCTTGAACAATCACTATTATACTACTTATACCTCATCAATATAATATTAGATCATATGATCTCTCACCTATTTTTATCACAGCATAAACACAATCAATATTTGGGGTAGATGCTTATTTCAAAAGCACTCTAAAAAGGAGGGGGAGGGGTTCATGGCCGGGCACAGTAGCTCACACCTGTAATCCCAGCACTCTGCGAGGCCGAGGCAGGTGAATCACAAGGTCAGGGATTTGAGACCAGCCTGGCCAACATGGGTGAAACCCCATCTCTACTAAAAATACAAAAAAAAAAAAAAAATTGGCTGGGCATGGTAGCAGGTGCCTGTAATCTCAACTACTCAAGAGGCTGAGGCAGGAAAATCACTTGAACCTGGGAGGTGGAGGTTGCAGTGAGCTGAGATCATGTCACTGCATTCCAACCCAGGCAGCAGTGCGAGACTCTATCCAAAAAAAAAAAAAAAAAAAAAAAATGGTTCAGGTCTATATTTCACTTTTCTCTTTATGCTACCTAATACGAAGAGTACGGGACATTATTTTTGGAAGGAATACTTTTGGAGGAAAATATCTGACTAGAACCACTGACCAAATCTGAATTACTATTATCTATTTTCCAACAATTTCTAACAAAAGACAGAACTGCATATATTGAAACAGATTTTATAATAGTTTATATTTGCACACAAATTCTGCCACATTGTTCAGTACCACCAAAGTAAAATTCTTGAATCTTTCACTGAAAATGAAAAACCCATCTGTCACCTGTTCCCAGTAAAAAACTGATTGTTCTATAAAATCAGCTGATTCAGTCAGATAGGAACTGAAGTTTGAAAGACAGTCTTTCCAAGTTGCCAGGTCATCAAATAATGACCACTCTAGGAATATGGTAGGACCAAAGAAAATGACGAAACCAAGCAGAAGAACTGGCAAAAATAACTTATAAAAGCTCCAGGGAATCTTGCTCATGAATGTGCCAGTGTCTTGAGGCAAAGAAAGTTTATCCACATCAACTAGTTTTATGTCTTCCCACTGACTAGTGTCAAAATTCTTCATTAAAGGGCTTGCAGGCAAATTAGTGGGAGGTAAAGGAGTTTCCTTGATTACTTTGATTTTCTCCCTGAACTCCTGCATCTGCTGCAGAAATACAATGGGTTCTGACACATCTTTGAAAGCCTCAGCAATGTTAAAGGCCATCCGTTGCTCCTGCAAGATGGTGTTGAGTTTGTTGATCTCTGGGTCATATGCTTGCATAACAGCAAGTTTCATGGTCTCAAAGTCAGACAGAATTTCATTCTTCTTTTGATCCAACGTGTGTTGTAACTTCTCAAAAAATTCTTTCACTTTATCTGAATCTTTAGTGAGTAACTGTAGGGACTTCCTCTTACTAGTTTCCAAGGTATCCAAGCGAGAAAGAGCATCTCCCCGACGCCAGGTCTCAAAGCTCTGAAAGAGGGACTCAAAGGCATCCCTTTCCTGAGCATAGGCATCTTCAATGGAACAGAAGACATGCTTGGTGTGGTCCCCACGAGTAGCACAGATCCCACAAATCAGCTGCATATCAGTCAGGCAGAAAATGTTGAGAGGCTGCCCCAAGTGTCCTTTGCATACTGGCATTTTGGGAGAGATCTTGATCTTGTTATACTTTTCCACAATACCCTTCAGGGAGTAATTAACCTGCAGGCTATTAATTCCAGTAGCTGAAGTTTCCTTACGACAGGTAGGACACTTGAATGGAGCTGGTCTCCACAAGGAGTTCCGCACACTCCCCTCTAAGATACCTTCCAAGCATTTTTTGCAGAAGTTGTGGGAGCAAGGCAAAACCCGAGGATCATCAAACAGACTACAACAAATAGGGCACGTGAGATCTTCTTCAAGCAGCTCCATCACATCCTACCAGAGAGAAAAAAAATTTTACTCCAATAATCATCACGACTAGGACTATGTAATCATTAGAAGAACCTGTCTTCACATTAAAATGATCTTTCAGTGAAATAACTAGCCAAACAAAGGAAGTGAGAAATTTAGTAAGGAAATGCACACCAAAGCAAATTTAATCCGCTGAGACTAGAACATGCTCCTTTAATAGTAGGGCACCCTATACACAAGGCCTTTGTGCGGGCTTTCCAATAACAGTCTTTGGCTAAGACAGAGTTAGGACTAGGACAACTGCAAGTTGAGCCAGCAGGACCCAACCGATTGTTTTAAAACAGAGCTGACTACTGACAAAAACAAAGCTATTCAGTGTCTGTAATAGAAAGAGCTCTTTACTCTGGGCCCACAAATATAAAATGGTATGCTATATAAAAGAAAGAAGCACAGAAATAGAAATTCAAACATATACTCTCATGCAGACTTTATTATGAATTGGCATATTTTTCTATTTCAAAGGCAAGATTACAATTTTAAAAATCACAGATAAAAGCACAAGATGAGACTTGCAATTCACTCTTCTAGGTAGAAAACTAAATGAGGTTTTTTTGTTGTTTTTAAACCACCAGAACAGTAATCAAAGCCACTTTGTATTATTTAGAATCATCAATTCTCACAATGTGGTGGGCAGAAACGTGGATGTCCCTCTTTCAGGGCATCTGTGAGATCAAAACTATAACACTAAGATATTATTTGCTTTTTGCACCGTGTCGATATTTAAAGCAATGGTGGGTGGACATTGCCAAAGCCTTAGAAGAGATCAAGCAAAGCTTTAAGAGGCACTGAATTGTATTCTTCATTACCACCCAAATTGGGGTTAGAGTACCAGTTCCATTTTTAAATGTTCTTGATTTAGCAGTAAAAATTATTCATTTTATTAAGTCTTAAGCCTGTATACATCTTTTTAGTGTTTTGTGTGACAAAATAGGCAGTATACACAAAGCACTTCTTCATACCAGCAGATGTTGTCTGGAGAAAAAGCACTTAAGTGATGAGCTGCAAGCTGAACCAGCTGCTTTTTTCATGAAACACCATTTTTACTTTCTGAAAGAACAAATGATAAACTATGGCTATTCAGACTTAGCTACCTGACAGACATCTTCTTGAAAAAAAAAAAAAAAGAGCTTGTTATTTCAGAGAAACAAATGACAGTATCTCTTCCAATGAAAAAGTTGGGTTTTATGTAAAAATTGCAATTTTGAAAAACATTTGACATAAGCCCATTAATTAAAGACTTATGATGAGATGAGTAGTAATATTAACTAATGTGAGGGTTTTTTGAGGGGGAAGGAGTACTGTATGATGAAATGTGTCAATATTTGGAGATCTGCAAAACACAGTGAATATTTTTTCAAGTCACCAATGCATGTTATAAATCAGGCATGGGTAAAAAATCCATTTGAAGTTCCAGAAAGACCAACAGGTTCACAAATACAATTTCAGATTCCATACCCCAACAAAGAAACCAGCACTTGCTGAGTTCCTGAATAGTATCAGAAGATTCGGGCTG